GGAGAATAGAAGCAAATGAAATGCTGGGCTCTTATTGCGAGCTTCATTCTTATTCACAGCTTGTGGAGCTATTTTGGGGCTTCAAGAGCCCCTTTTCGATACCTATATTGACTTTGGTCTTCGGTTTTTATAGGGTTACGCAAGCTGTTGCCGGACAAAGGAAAATCGTATAGATGAAAGAGTACGGGAGTAAAAAACCGTACACATTTCTGAAATGCGTGGCTTTTTTTTGTAGAACACCGTACATTTTATGCAGAGTTCATTGTCTGCACCGTACTATAATGCGTACAGGGAGTTGTACGCACCTGTTTAGAGTATATTCTGCGGGCTTTAAACTACCGTAGTGTCTTGTATTAAAGCCTATCTCGAATAGAAGCCTGTTTTGAATACAAGCCTCATTTTCGAGATACACTGTCGGCACATAAGCCTGGTTTTAGTGTTGAATCTGTTGACACACATAGAAATACCTGGTTTGAATAGAAGCCTGATGTGAAAAGAAGCCTAGCCCTTACATCGGCTTCTACAGGAATAAGCCCGGCTTTAATACGCGACATTACGGTAACCCAAGGCCCTCGACGCGTCATCAAAGAGTAGTAAAATTACGATTGAGCGGGCTTTTTAAACTCTGATAAGGCCCTTGGCGGGAACGTCGCTGATTGGTCGTCTCCCGGACAACGATACAGACCTCGTTCTAATTATTATGAAAACATCTCTGAAAACTTGAAAAGTCGTAATATATCTGCATACTCTGAGGTCATGCATTTTCATTCACACACATGTACCTGCACACTTCCTTGCACTGTTGTCTTTTTCTTCCAGCCACTCCATCAGCTTCCGCTATGTGTTCGGTCAGAGGAAAAACTGTTGATTGTCGTAAAGTAGGTCGTCTGAATGGCACAACAGCCTGCTGCAATATTTCTGGCACCAGTTTAGGCTGTTGCACACCAGAGTAAGTGGATACCCCTGGAGAGTCATGTCTGTGTTTCTCTCTGTCTGTGTGTGTGTGTCTCTGTGTGTGTGTGTGTGTGTGTGTGTGTGTGTGTGTGTGTGTGTGTGTGTGTGTGTGTGTGTCTCTCTCTCTCTCTCTCTCTCTCTCTCTCTCTCTCTCTCTCTCTCTCTCTCTCTCTCTCTCTCTCTCTCTTTCTTTCTATTTCTCTGTGTTTGCCAGTCATGATTTGTCCGTCCACGTGTCTACAAACGCATGCGTGTGTTTGTGGATGTCTGTCTGATTGCCATTCTGTTGGTCAATCTATCTGTTTGTGTCGTTACAAGTAGGTGTGTTTGAACTGTGACAAGCCCCTGGTATTGATCGAGACATGATAGCGTAGCTGTGTTGCAAAATATACAGTACAGGGATCGATTTATCTGGGTTCGCATCGCAGTTTGCGAATCAAAATTCACTGGCTGCGATTCGCTTTTCATTTTTTATCGCCCAAAACTGCGATGCACCAGTTGTGTGCAGCCTACATACGACTGTACACACTGCTGACTAGGGAGTAGTATTTTACTACTCCAACCAACTGGCGCGTGGCCTGTCCTGCTCAGTCCGCGCGCGGGTCGCGGATCGCGCTCTTTCGATTTTGGGCACTGCACTAGCACTGGTCGTACATGACTGCAGTCTTCTGAAGTAACTTATAGGCCATTCACACGACGGGCAAACTTACTTTTATCGTACTGTTTCCAAGGATATTTACTCGGATACGATAAACTTGGACACACGCGTGCAACTGATTTTTTATCTTGGCCGAGGCCCTTTTGCTCGCGATTATCTTTGCACGCCAGGAAAAGTGTCGGTTGTTGAAAGTGCGTACTGCAAATGCAGTGCTTGAACAAGGGAAAATTCAAAATTGAACATTTCCCGGCACTTTCAGGAGGTCACTATGGATACATTGACGGTTGCAAAGTTTGCCCAGCACCGTGTGAACTGGATCACGGTTTGCCAGTGTTATCTTGTTCACACATGTGCAAATGTTTACACGTCGTGTGAATGGCCTATTAGTTTTGTACACGGCGGAGAACATCAGGAAAGCTTTCTTCTTTCACTGTCAAGCTTACATGTAGTTTGTTTCTGTTCGACAAGGCACAGTTGAAGTAGATGGTTCTTAGTCTCATGTAGCCAACATGTCAGTGAATCTGATCAGTGATTCACTGTCTAGCAGAGGGACAAAGAACTGGACGCACCAGGAATGTCGATTCGTTTCGATGAAGAAAAGGAGAAAAGCGAAATTCGATGCGCTTTGCACGAAATATCACGATCGTTTGAGCGCTTTCCTGAGGTGTCTTTGTCGAAGGAATCTGTGGAACTGCCCTATTGAAGGACATTGTGTTGTGAAGAACTCGAAGTCGGATGGACGCTGAACATGTAACGTGCCCAAGCGAAAACTCTAACGTAAATATTCAGGTCGAACATTCGCTTGGAAAAGCAAATAGCAACTGCAGCTATTGTCCTCTTCTGTACGAAATCCTGCTATTGTACAGCTATACATGTAAACTTTTGATGAAGGAAAACTGCTAATCAATACTGGGAGTTGCTAGTCAATTGTAAAACTGTGTAGCAGTGACTGCTATGCAAAAAAAATCAAAGTAAATCGATCCCTGCAGTACATCGTCACTACTCGTAGATCATTGAGTACAGTACTCATGCACAAGTAATAGTTCTAGCTGCGTATTGGTAGCTTGTACACACACACACACACACACACACACACACACACACACACACACACACACACACACACACGCACGCGCACGCACATACACACACACACATAATACTGATCCTACAAGATGAACAGAATTTTGTCTTTCGTGTGGAACGGTTGTATATGACAGATTTTGGCAATGGGTTGCTCAACTTCCCCCTTCCAGACCCGTTCTGGTCTTCTGGTCCTTGTTCACTGACGACACCCTACTACATATGTCCAGCTAATCTGTCAAAGTGATACACATACATTATGTACAGGCCGCTAGCTACTATACTAGGTGTCAACGTAGTGGCTCGCGCTTGATTGCTGAATACCAGTACCGTATTTTCCCCCGTAAACGTACACGTCTCCAATACTAGTACATCTCCGATTGTAGTTCATGTTGAGTGCGGATCAAAAATATGAAAGGACCCGTGTCTAAGAATAGTACATGCTGCAATGATGTGATGGGCATTACTGGGGTACATTGTTTGGGGATAATACGGTATTATAATATTATTCTTGCGTGTACACACCTTACGCCCAGGCTTATTCATTTCCCACTACCGGTGTTTGATATTACTGTAAAACATGTCATTTTCGGTGTCACTTTAATTTCGGTGATTTCGATAGAGAAACCGAAACCAGGCACCTAAATTTAAATTACACCTAAAGGCCCTAGAGTATGCACTGTATGTGAAGGGAATGCTGATCACCTAATTCTACATTACACCGGAAACCCGGCAGGTCCCGGCAGGTCCCGGCAGTAAAACACACCTCTAATGTTACATTCATCAATTAGGAGGAGCCGTGGTTGGCTCTGGCCATCCCGGCAAGAAGGCAGATATGCTTGTTCGATTGGTGAATTAAAATATAAATACCATACCATACATGTTTTACAGTATTTTAAATCAGCCAAAATCTCCAGTGTGAATTATGTCATGATACGATAGCAAAGATGACGGAAAAGAATGATTTTTTATACTGTTCAACCGTATTTGCACTGGGTCAAGTGTCTTACAAGATTTCAAAATCGGATGATAGAGAAATTATGAAACGTGGGCTTGTCTTCCACCCTTCCGGACAGATACATTTTATCCTACAAGAAGGACGCTGTATGTGCTACATGTATATATGATTGCCTTTGTCATGGCCGCGCGTTGGCGGGTTTGTGACTTGGCTTAGATCAGTCTAGTGGCTACCCAGGTAGACGACTAATATAGTCGCCATCCAAGTTGCTAGCTCACACAGAACGACAGGTTTCTAATTCCACTTGAACAGTGTTTTTTTTAACCATTGCAGTACTAGATCGAAAGATCAAGTGTGAAGAGTCAAAGACCCAAAGCAGGAGCCAAGCGAGAGAGCACTAGAGTAGTGAGCTCCCCGAGAGTCGAGGATCGAGAGGAGTAGTGAGCTCCCCGGATCGAGGATGAATGTTAGCAAAACAGCTCCTTATATATGCTACATTATGTGATCAAAAGTATACAGCGGCAAGAATGCGTATTATTTCTATAATTATTACAACCAGTGGTACATGGTGCAATATGTGCAATCAGCCAAACTAGAATATAGTACAAAGATCAATCAATACGGGGAGCTCGCTCACCCAAATGTGAATATCAGTGATCTCCAAATGCTGGCATGATCTTGGTCCGCGATCCGGTGGCTGGGATGCATTGCAGCAGTACAGGCGGGAAGCGTAGCTGCGTCCTTCGGTTCACCCAATAGGGCTTGAAAGTGATGACGTCAAAAACGGCCAGGGAGTAGTAAGTTGACATCAGATTTCTATTTTGGATCCACTAAGGTGTGACTTTGCTATTGCCTCAGTATGTGGGTGCATAGCAACCCACTCATGTCGTATGCAGGCATGACTTTTACTTCGCCACCAGTTGTAACCCCGCCCCCAGTAGCCAAATCAGTCAGTTTCACTGGCTACATCACCTTGCTGTGAGTAAGACAGCTTGAAATGTGCTTGGATCCATACAAAAACTGGATCCAAGTGGATCCAGTTTTTGAATTTTTGAAATTGTTGCTATGCTGTGACGTGGCACTTTCAAGCCCTATATGGGCTCTTCCCCCAAACATAGCAGCAGACGGCAATGCCGTATTCCCTCCAATGGGCCTGGGGTCTAGAGTACGCAAAGTACTATCGACCCTTTGCGTCTTACGACACGAGAAGAGGCGCCATTCTTGCTCAACTGACAAAGGTATCAGGTCCCTTGCAGGACTAAGCGTGGTTTCCTCAAGCTCAGAGTGTAGTGAGTACAATGCTGACGGTTTGTACTGAAGGTGTTGCCGACGTACGACAACACTTTGCGGCTCTAGGCCACGAGTTGTAAGCCATGATTGCTCAACTAACGAAAGTGCCAAGTCCTTCGCAGGACTAATCATGGTTCTTACAGAACTCTAGAATATTTTGGAGTCTAGCTTTGGCTGCTGAACTCAATGCGTGGTCGCTTCCACGACGAGTCTGATCCGGGTCATGACACCTTAAAATGGAGTCCTGCAGCGCATTCTGGGAACTGCTTTCGTTTCAAATGATTATCCGTACATGGCATGCTGGCTTGTGTGCCCCCCCCCCCCCCTCTCTCTGTAGGTTGTCCATTGAGCTTTCTGTCGTGGATTTTGCATGTGTCTGTCTGTCTGTCTGTCTGTCTGCCTGTCTGTTTCCCCTGGTCCCGTGTCTGATCACACCCGGTATATGCTCCGGCATATCTCAGCACTGACAGCTTCCTGATGGACCTAGTGAGAGATGTGTCCCCACAGTGTGGCCGAGACTTGATCAAGGACCAGAAGGCGTGCTTCACAAACGTTGCCATCTGCCTCAGCAAGGTGCAGAAGACCATCAGCAGTGGCTCGCCTCTGAATATTCTGGGTGCTCTGACCGCTTTGAAAGGGTGCGATGTCCTGGACAAATGTTCGCAAGCAGCCTCAAGTGAGTGATTTCAGTCGTGTGTGTTCAATACCAAGATTTCAGAACCTGGCTATGTAATCTTAGTATACTCAAACCGGGTACTAGTATTTCGATGTATGTCGCTACTAAAAACCTGACGGGGCAAGGGCTGTTGAAGCTTGCATTCATATCAGTTCATGTGACTTAATACTGCGCGAGGTGTTTGTCAAAGAATGGCACTATGAGGTCAACACCCGCCGGTCCAGGCCGCTGATCGAGGAGCCTTATATGGCTGAGCTCTTGTGCTATTCTGTTGTGGTCTACAGGTACAGCCACGTGCACCCGGGGAGAGGAATTGTGTAACACCGTCATCACTGAGACCTCCCAGTACCGTCCATTCGCCTCCGTCCTACCCAAGAGGAATAATAAGCTATGCCTGCCCACCTCATGCACGGCGGATGTCACAGTAAGCATGCCCCCCGGGAGCTGATGCTGCTGTCTGCATGCCATCAATGCAATTGCAACAGTGGCTAAGCATCGCAGCCAATATCATGGTGGCTCTCATTCACTGGTGGACACCCAGCCTGTGGATGTCTTCTCGTGCACTGCGGCGACATGTGGATATCTTTGTAATAGATCAGGTGCACAATGACGTGCACAGCATGTGTAGAAAGTGTGTACAGCATGTGTAGAAAGTGTGCACAGCGTGTGTATAGTGTTTGTACAAACCTGTGGGATGAATGGGCGTTGCACTGTGTTTAGATCTGCAAAGCGCTGAAAGTCTCTTCGGAGAACCCATTTTGTCTGGAAAATGTGTACAGATAGTATCACATTCTGTCCGTCCAGGAAATCGCGATTCCACGGATGCAACAAATTTCGCGATTTTTGCCCAAACCCGCGATTTCCCGCGTTTTTTGTTTTTTTCTGCATTATTATTGTTTTTTTTATTCTCGTAGCCGTCCCGAATGGTATTCACGACGGCAGAATTGACTGTGAGCATGTGTGTGTGAGAGTGGGAGAACGACATGAAAAAGAAAAGAAGAGTTTTGTAATAAAGGTCCAATTTAAGTAAGAAAATTTCTGCATTTATAGGCCATGGTAAAAAATAAAGTTGATTCTCAGGTCATGAGCCTGTGAAAATCGGTGCGAGTGAGCGATTTTTTATTTTATTTCCCACGATTTTATTATTTCCAAAGATAGGGTCACACCAGGGAGTCGTCAAATACCATTTGACGACTCCCTGGGTCACACATATGTACATGGTCACATGTTCACATGTTTGTCCAGGTTCGGCCTCATTTCCTCTGTGCTGCGCTGACGAGTCCACAATAGACGAAACAGTTCTGTCCGCAGATTGAGTTTGGTCACATGTTCATTATTATATCCAGGCCAGGGAGTAGAAAAATACCGGTATTTTACTACTCCCTGATTCATGCCTTTCGCATTGACCGTTTTCATGCACGCATATGCATGCATAGAAATAAAAAAGATCGTTGGTGCGCCGCCAAAAATCGGTGAGCGCGTACTTGAGAATCAAAGATAATTTTTACCATGGCCTTACATCCCACATGTTTATGTACTTTTCACGCAGTGCTTTCCATGATCCTGTAGGTTATTTGCACAGCACGACTCGTACTACTCCCGAGTAGATACACTGTGCAAAATAGTAACGATTCTAACGATGCAACAAATGTCGGGATGTGGCCCAACTTGCCCCAAGTCCGCAATTTTCTGCAAATAATTCCACGAATTCCTCGCAAATTCCGCATCTTTCCGCACTTTTCGCCGCATTTTTTGTTGTTTTCTGCCGCAATTTCTTGCGCAAGTTTTCGAGAATTTTCCCGCAAATTCCCGCAGGGACAGCACACTGCTGTTGTGCAAGCGGTGTTTAGTAACGTTACAGTAGAAGAGGAACATGGAGTGGCCTTTCAGTGGTGTACCCAGGGAGGGTGCTTTGGGTGTGCGTTAATTCTGGCGGGAGAATTAGCAATTCCGCCCTCTCTTCAGAATTAACGGAATTGCATTCCGTCAATTCTGACGACAGAATTTGTGTAATCGAACGGTGCATGCACTATAACTATTTCTAGAATTGACCGAAATGTGTGTAGTCGAACGCGCCCAATGAAGTGGTGTGTCTGTGTGTTGATGAGATGTATGTACATGCATGCGCATGTGTGTGTGTGTGTGTGTGTGTGTGTGTGTGTATGTGTGTGTGTGTGTGTGTGTATGTGTGTGTGTGTGTATGTGTGTGTGTGTGTGTACCTTTCTCCACCATTTATGTGTTGCCATGGCGGGCTGAAGTCAGTGAGCAAGCTGCTGTACGCAGCGCTTTGCTTCCCGTTCTGTCAGCTGACTGGCGGGGGAGCTAGCCTGGGCCTGGGCGGAACCTGTTTCATCTCATCAGTGAACGTGTCTTGTCCAGTGTCTGGTAAGAACAGTGAGCCGAGACTGTGATGATGTGGTTGCATTTTGATTTCACACTTTTTCTAAGTTAAGTAAGTAGTAAGGCAGATACTAGTACACATCGGCTATGTTCGACTTACCGGCAGTTGAACAGCAACAACAGCTAGAGTCGTGGAAACTGAAATCCGACCCCTGATTACCATGCTGGAGTGCAGCGTCAGTCTATAGTGGTCTCTATTCCGGTAGTGTACTATCAGTTTATAGTGGTCTCTATTCCGGTAGTGTACTATCAGTTTATAGTGGTCTCTATTCCGGTAGTGTACTATCAGTTTATAGTGGTCTCTATTCTGGTAGTGTACTATCAGTCTTTATGCTGACCTTTCATACAAACTTCCAGTCAACTTGCCCATCATGCTGGCGGCTTATACTGGGCATATAAGCCTCATACCTCATACAAACCCCATATAGACCGCCACCATAGAAACAGGAAGAAGTTGACTGTCAGTTTGTATAAAGGTCAGCATAAGTATAATACATCCCACTAGTACGCTTGTACGTGAAATATAAACCATCATACAAACCTCGGCTTCGCCTCAGTTTGTATGTCGGTTTATATTTCACGTACAAGCGTACTGCTGGGTTGTATTATAATTATAGTGGTCTCTATTCCGGTAGTGTACTAGCGCGCGCTGGATTGTTCCAATGCGAGTGCAACGAGCTGGGGTCGAATTTCAGCTGCCACCGCTGTGCTATACATGACATTGTATTGTAGTTTTGACCAGCGAATGTGTGTGTGTATTCTGCTCCTAGTCGACCATAAACAGATGATGCCGTGGCCGAGCACAGGCCTGCGCCAGATAGAGTGCGCCTGCAGGTAGATTGTGTGTGTGTGTGTGTGTGCGTGTGTGTGTGTGTGTGTGTGCATGTGTGTGCATGCGTGTGTGTGTGTGTGTGTGCATGTGTGTGTGTGTGTGTGTGTGTGTGTGTGTGTGTGTGTGTGTGTGCGCGTGAGAACCGTACTGCAGCAATACCTAGTGTGTTCGCGAGCAAGTGGTTTTTTTCATATACTTCGAAGTACAGTAATAGAAATACCATTCCGTTTTCTGTGATCTGCCGTGCAAGGTTCATCGGCACTGTACACTGACCAGAAAGCCGACTGCCAGACGTATACGTTCAACGTGGGTACAATGCCGCCCATGTCTTCTCCGTTCGGCGGAGGTGCAGGGACGCACAGCGGAGGTGCAGGGACGCACAGCGGAGGTGCAGGGACGCACAGCGGAGGTGCAGGGACGCACAGCGGTGGCCATGCCGTGTCACCGACAAGTGGCGACTCGCGGTCTCCTTCCTCTCACGGCGTGAGCAGCGCTCTTGTGGCGATTGTCTGCGTGTGCAGCATTCTCATTGTTGTTCTAGTCACCATCGGCGTGGTGTATTTTGTGCGACGCAGACGCAGCACTGGAAGAGCACCGGTCACCTACTCTGGCCTGGACGATGAGGATGATGATATCATCACCTAGCCTATAATTATGATATCATCACCTAGCCTTAATGTGGTATGGTCCTCCTCCGTGTGTGTGTGTGTGTGTGCGTATGTGTGTGTGTATGTGTGTGTGTGTGTGTGTGTGTGTGTGTATGTGTGTGTGTGTGTATGTGTGTGTGTGTGTGTGTCTGTGTATGTGTGTGTGTGTGTGTGTGTGTGTGTGTGCGTATGTGTGTGTATGTGTGTGTGTGTGTGTGTGTGTGTGTGTGTGCGTATGTGTGTGTGTGTGTGTGTGTGTGTGTGTGTGTGTGTGTGTGTGTGTGTGTGTGTGTGTGTGTGTGTGTGTGTGTGTGTGCGTATGTGTGCGTATGTGTGTGTGCGTGTGTGTGTGTGCGTGTGTGTGTATATGTGTGTGTGTGTGTGTGTGTGTGTGTGTGTGTGTGTGTGTGTGTGTGTGTGTGTGTGTGTGCATGTGTGTGTGTGCGTATGTGTGTGTGTGCACGGCCATCGGCATTGCTTGCCTGCTACACTGAAGTGCTATGAAAGCGTGCATTGCGTTTGTTTGTTGACTTTGCCAGTCCGTAGTTTTGCCGGACTTTACCAGTCCGTTTTGAATCACCAAGTACATGTATAATGATAATTATTATTATTATTATACTGTTACAGGCTTACAGCACACTATAAATAATTTTTGCAATTCTGACAAGTTTGTAGTCCCACTGCTATAATTATAATTTCCACTGGTTACCAAGAGTGTGCAGCTTCTGAATTTTCTGCATTGATGTCGAATTGCGTCACAGTTGGTGCCGATGTGCAGCGGGAAGTGACATAGTGCGTACACGTCAGCTGCAGTTCTGCAGCAGGATACATGTTTGAATCCTTGTTGGCGAGCGGGTACGCACTACATCACGGCAATGATGTAATCCAGGAATTTTGCTGTTACAGCAACCCATTCAACTGCAGGTGGAACCCTGATGTTTTGAATACTGATGCCGGGCTTAGCATGCCTAGTTCGAGGTTCGAATTATCAGACATTGTTATAAATCTGGGAATCGTATGGATAGAAATCGATTTCCCATGCATGAATCCCCTTTAGAAAATGTGTGCGATTTGTGCTGATAATGCCGGCAGAAACATTCGCAGAACTTGATACTTTTCCTGGTATGTTTCATGCACGTTTGGTACCTGGATAAAGAAATGGAACAGAATTCGAATAAGTGCCTGCCATAACGTTTGTATTGTTCTGCCAATTTCACTGTCTTTCAAGCAGAATCTGCCAATTTTCGAGCATTATCCACCAATGGCTCTCAGAGTCCCTCCCTCAATCAAGGCACAGTCACATCACGGTACATGTATATTGGCCACTGTGTCGCTACTTCGAGTCTGAGTATTTTGGAATGAAGAAGGCTTACCAATGGCAATGATTGCTATGATAACAAAATCATTGGTCAGCATTTTGTCACCATAGCAATCATTGGTCAGCATTTTGTCACCATAGCAATCATCGGAACTAAATATAGGGCTTGAAAGTGATGACGTCAAAAACGGCCTGGGAGTAGTAAATTGACATCAGATTTCTATTTTGGATCCACTAAGGTGTGACTTTGCTATTGCCTCAGTATGTGGGTGCATAGCAACCCACTCATGTCGTATGCAGGTGCAACTTTTACTTCGCCACCAGTTGTCACCCCGCCCCCACTAGCCAAATCAGTCAGTTTCACTGGCAACATCACCTTGCTGTAAGTGAGACCGCTTGAAATGTGCTTGGATCCATACAAAAACTGGATCCAGGTGGATCCAGTTTTCGAATTTTTCAAATTGTTGCTATGCCATTGCTATGGAGTGACGTAGCACTTTCAAGCCCTATTGCGACAGAGCTTTCGGCCATATTTTTAATTCATTGCATTCCCAACTCATCACAACCACGCGCTCTTCAGCCGAACCATACAGACACCAGCAAGGACACTTCCGTTGAGAGATAATATTGCTCCACGCCTCTAGACAGCTGTTTCGCTCCCTGTCAGAGCTCATCAGTAGAGGATGATAATGATGATAATGGAGGAATGATCATTCTTATACACCAGAAATGGCGCAAGTGCGCGCTTTCCACATATATCAATGGCATATGCAAGCTGCTAAAATGGTAAAGTGTGAGAACAGCGATAAATAATCATAGTACGCGCTCATTGGTGGAGAAACACACCACACAAGCGACGAAAATCTTACTCGGACTACTGATGCCAATGGAAAGTACATGTATGTAAAAATAACAGCTGTCTAGAGGCGTGGAGCAATATTATCTCTCAACGGAAGTGTCCTTGCTGGTTCGGCTGAAGAGCGCGTGGTTGTGATGAGTTGGGAATGCAATGAATTAAAAATATGGCCGAAAGCTCTGTCGCAATATTAAATTTTAGTTCTGAAGTTTTAATGCGCCGTTAGCCATTTCTGGTGTATAAGAATGATCATTCCTCCATTATCATCATTATCATCCTCTACTGATGAGCTCTGACAGGGAGCGAAACAGCTGTCTAGAGGCGTGGAGCAATTATTATCTCTCAACGGAAGTGTCCTTGCTGGTGTCTGTATGGTTCGGCTGAAGAGCGCGTGGTTGTGATGAGTTGGGAATGCAATGAATTAAAAATATGGCCGAAAGCTCTGTCGCAATATTTAGTTCTGAAGTTTTAATGCGCCGTTAGTGGCAGAGCAGAGTGGACACGAAGAGTCGGTGAAGAAAGAAGGAGAGATGACAAGACGAGTCGGTGAAGAAGGAAGGAGGAAAGCAAGACACATCTGCAGCATCTTTGATCAAACTGAGCTGAGCTGCTGATACGAAGCGTTGACCAAGCATCCCTGACTGGAGTGAATGCCCCAGCTGGCCTCTCGTTTGTCAGTGGTTGCTACTAGACCTGTTAGTATCACACTCACGACTACAAGTTTCCTGGTGTGCATCGACATCGGCATCAGTGGGGCCTCCCGCTGTCGATCCTGTTGACGGGCGGACAGGTCGGTGTGAATCCTGAACGGCAACCGAGCCTGTCGCGTTGGGGGATCTCGGCGGTGAGTCTCGCCTCGCCTGCATACATGGACATTGCAACATCATAATAATAAACAACATACATGTACTTTCCATTGGCATCAGTAGTCCGAGTAAGATTTTCGTCGCTTGTGTGGTGTGTTTCTCCACCAATGAGCGCGTACTATGATTATTTATCGCTGTTCTCACACTTTACCATTTTAACAGCTTGCATATGCCATTGATATATGTGGAAAGCGCGCACTTGCGCCATTTCTGGTGTATAAGAATGATCATTCCTCCATTATCATCATTATCATCCTCTACTGATGAGCTCTGACAGGGAGCGAAACAGCTGTCTAGAGGCGTGGAGCAATATTATCTCTCAACGGAAGTGTCCTTGCTGGTGTCTGTATGGTTCGGCTGAAGAGCGCGTGGTTGTGATGAGTTGGGAATGCAATGAATAGCAATCATCGGCCAGCATTTTGTCACCATAGCAATCATTGGTCAGCATTCTGTCACCATAGCAATCATCGGTCAGCATTCTGTCACCATAGCAATCATTGGCAAGCATTTTGTCGCCAGCAATCATTGGTAAGCTTTCTTAGGTCCAAAATAGAAGAAGTACTAGTAGTAGTACTCTAAGAAAATATGGGTGCAGTGGCCAACATACATGTACTAGAAGTACACAAAGGCAGAAGAGAACAGAGACCACCACCAGCTAGGTCATTTGTCGTAACGCTGCGTTTCATGCACATAGCAAAGCTAAGGCAATCCCCAGACAACTGAAGTACAATCATGTACATCGCCGAAGTCGGTACCACTATCTCGTATTGTGCCCAGCGCGGGCTTGCGACTAGCTGGTTAGGAGGTGACAGCGTTGTGAATGACCTGGGCCGGGGGTATTCCTCACCGTCTGTTCTCACCGTCCAGGAGCGACACTGTGACTCACGCTGCGATCTGGTGTTCACGAGGTGTTTGTCGGGCTGGAAACGGAGCGTCTCTGTAAGTTTGTATCTCTGGTGACGGTTTGGCCTGGAGAGCACTATATAAGTGGTGCCCTTCCAGACACAATCTTCCTCAGCCTACTCAAGTTCAACTGGTGAGGGGTGAATTCCCCGAAACACTGTGTATTGGGCAGGGAGTGGTGCTTTCTTGCAGGTTTGCCGAGTCAAAGTTTCGTGATGGACTTCTTGTGTGTTGTCTGGATGGCAGTCGCGAGTCAGTCAAGTGTCAAGTCAGTCGGCCGAAAGTGCGAGCTCCGGTGTGGGGGAGCAAACACTTTCCCATCATGGTATACATGTACTGTAATAGACTGAGAAGGTAGCTTATTCTCCAAACTTGAGTAGTGCTTAGCGTTAGTGTAGTTCAAGTGAGGTTTCTGCTAGAGCATAGTACACGTACATGCCAGCAACGACAACAGAACTGAACGCCATGTTCACAGTATTGGCCCAATCACTGGCCCAAGTGCGTCCCAAAGTGAAGATATTTGACGCAGTGGAACCTTCTTTCCCGGCACTCTGCGTGTGTATACAGCAGGGCGAGAAGGAGCTCAGGCCAAGACACTGATCCAGGACTGTCAAGGACAACCTTGTACAGGAACAGGGGGTAGAGCACAGGAAAAGGAAATTGTGAAGAAAATACTTTGAAGTACAGTGACGTACTAGAGTTTGTGTTTTCCTTGATCTAAAGTAATAAAAAATTGACACATTGCTAACATCAAAATAATTGATGTCATAACTAAATTAAGCATGAACCTCGAGTTTGCTGCTGGGTGTTCAAAGTCTGCACTGCCGTTCCAGTCCCCATTCAGGGCTTAACCGCTGATTTCCCCAATGGCTGCAGTTGTACAGTGGGGATGGCGTAACTGACTTCAAGCAAAGACCTCCGCCTGAGTCTGTGCATCACTAGCAACAACTGCCCATGTTGGCATGGCCATAGCTGAATGCTGCGAATGCCTTGATGGAACAATTCCGCAGCAGTATGGCCGGAGAAGTGACTGTGATGTCATAGATCTGCACAGTGTATGGACATTGTGATGTCACTGCCCATATTAGTACGCAGCATCTTTCCACAACAGACAATACTGTAGACCAGAATTGCACTCTGAAGCAATGGGCACCACGCACACACACGCACACACACACACACACACACACACACACACACGCACACACACGCACACACACACACACACACACACACACACACACACACACACACATCACACACGCACGCACACACACACATCACACATGCACACACACACACACACACACACACACACACATACACTGGCAGGAGATTATACGTACAGCGGCAGGCTTGTCTCTGGTACACTGTGCTACCGGCGCATGCACCAGGCTGCCACCGTTGCCACCACACCAAACCCAACAAGAAGCATCGTGCCATGGCGCGTCATGCCCGGTACTGAACGGTCACAATTCTCGGTGACAGCATCTTTATCGGTATGATCTATGCCAGTGTGGCTGGTATGGGCTGCCATCGGACTCATGACAAACGTAGGCGATGTGTCGGGGTTGCGAGAGTCGCTTATCGGCAGAAGATCTTGAGCGGGTGGCTGGTCATCAGGCAGGCCTGAAACAATAGATTAAGAGAACAAGATCATCGCAGCAGTGCGATCCGAGACTTGCAGCCGAGAGGACTGCATGGCGCACAGGGTCAGCCGAGAGGACTGCATGGCGCACAGGGTCAGCCGAGAGGACTGCATGGCGCACAGGGTCAGCCGAGAGGACTGCATGGCGCACAGGGTCAGCCGAGAGGACTGCATGGCGCACAGGGTCAGCCGAGAGGACTGCATGGCGCACAGGGTCACAACAAGGAAACAAGGGGACGAGAGAATGGAGCATACAAATATGGAGAGCGGCATGCATATATCATGGGTACATCACATGCATATATCATGGGTACATCACATGCATATATCATGGGTACATCACATGCATATATTATGGGTACATCACATGCATAGCTCCTGTGGTGGAGGCGCTGTTCCATTCATTCCACGTGCTCATCAACTACATACAGTGTACATACAGTGTACATACAGTGCCCATACAGTGTACACACAGTGCACATACAGTGTACATACAGTGTACATACAGTGTACATACAGTGTACATACAGTGTACATACAGTGTACATACAGTGTACATACAGTGTACATACAGTGTCCATACAGTGTACATACAGTGCACATACAGTGTACATACAGTGTACATACAGTGCACATACAGTGTACACACAGTGCACATACAGTGTACATACAGTGTACATACAGTGTACATACAGTGTACATACAGTGTACATACAGTGTACATACAGTGCACATACAGTGTACATACAGTGTACATACAGTGTACATACAGTGTACATACAGTGTACATACAGTGTACATACAGTGTCCATACAGTGTACATACAGTGTACATACAGTGCACATACAGTGTACATACAGTGTACATACAGTGTACATACAGTGTACATACAGTGTACATACAGTGTACATACAGTGTACATACAGTGCACATACAGTGTACATACAGTGTACATACAGTGCACATACAGTGTACACACAGTGCACATACAGTGCACATACAGTGTACATACAGTGTACATACAGTGTCCATACAGTGTACATACAGTGTACATACAGTGCACATACAGTGTACATACAGTGTACATACAGTGTACATACAGTGTACATACAGTGCACATACAGTGCACATACAGTGTACATACAGTGTACATACAGTGTACATACAGTGTACATACAGTGCACATACAGTGTACATACAGTGTACAGTCAACGGCAACTCTGAGTTGTACAGTGTGCTATGTAGCAAGCCAGACTCGATGAGCAGCTCAAGTTGATAGCTGCATGTGCCACAACAGACTGGACTCACCTGTTAACGATGGAGCAGATAGGACGTGCCTCTGTTCCGAAAGCTCTCTCAGCACCGGTCTTGGATACTCATTGTTGAAGCGGTCGTGCTTGGGCTGCTCCAGTGACCGGGTACCATCTGCTCCAGTTTCTGATGATATGAGCGTTCCCGTGGAGCCTCCGCTACCTACAATACACACACCGATAAGATTGGAACAGACCGGTGGGGAAAGGCCGATGGGCACATGCCGGTGGGGAAAGGCCGATGGGGACAGGCCGGTGGGGACAGGCCGGTGGGCACACACAAATGGAGTTCCGGAACACAACATTTAGTCGCATTCATACGAGCGTAGAAGCCTTCATCAGCGCCCAACTTGGAGTGCTCCTTTCACTACTCCTTTGGTCGCTGACAGCATGCTGGACATGTACAACGAGAACATGTACTGGGCGGTTTTGCCGTCAGAGAACCTTTCGAAAATGGAGTTGAGCACTCTTGGCAAGTATAAGTAGCAAAGGTTCCTGAAAATAGTGCTCAATACGCTGAGAATAGAGCATTTCACACAACCATGCACCGTCACACAGCCATGCACCGTGAAACCGTCACACAGCCATGCACACAGCCATGCACACAGCCATGCACACAGCCATGCACACAGCCATGCACACAGCCATGCACACAGCCATGCACACAGCCATGCACACCGCCATCATAGTGACTAACCACTTGCAGTGTATGCTGGTGGTGGATCATCACCGCCGGGTAGACTGGCTAACGGAGGAACCGTCTCCTGCCGTCCATGTATATCCCTGGGTAGTGCACCTGAGCAGGTGTGAATGTGAATACTACAAACTATCAGTAGCCACACTAAACCAGTCAGAGTACATGGCAGCTAAAGACAGCTCTCACGTGCATCATACAGTTACATGCACTTGCTATATAATATGACCGGCAGGCATGCATCACCATCATATTGGTAACATCAACAGATTCAACACACAGCTGCGTGCGAAGGCTACCTTCCCAATATAAGTGAGAACATCGAAGACTTCAGGCGTCTTGTCTGACCCATACTCACGTGCAGCCTCTTCGGCATCTGTATTTTCCCAGTCAGCTCTGGCTGAAAAATAGCAGAGACAAACAAAAAGAAGGTGCTCGTCGTCCCAAGCCACTGGAAGTGAGGAATATTACAGTTCTGTGGACAGGGTTCTAGCCAGGTCGAAATAGTAGGGGGGGGGGGGGGGGGGGCAGTTACCCTGTAGTCCTTTTTCCATTTTCAAAATACATGTAACTGTCTTGCAATGCGAAATGCAATGTATGGGGCGAACACCTGACTTCACCCCCAGACAAATGTGCCTTTATGAATCCCCTAGTACTGACTATCGACTGCATTTTTGTTGAATGGCAAGAAAAACCATAAAAATCGGAAAATGAATAGGGGGCAGCACTTTTTCACAGCGGGGGGGGGGGGGGCACAAACAGAGTAGGAGGGTGCTGCCCCCCTCCCCTCCCCCTACCCTCTTTGACTAGAACCCTGTGGTAGCAGTGACTGTGTGCGTGGGGGAGGAGGCATTGCTGTCAGGTTGCTGCCATGAATCATAGTGCGCAGACAACATGTGCAAGATGGCGGCCCGAATCAGTGATCATGAAAACTGGGACGGGCATGAACGGTAAGTCTAAACTTACTTACTCAACGTGTTCTCGGCTACAAGATAGCTTTCTGGTGGAGCCGCCAGTTTTCTTTCCAGTTGTGGGAAAGTAGATGTCCGTGCCAGAGCACGCAGGAAGCACTTGCGTCGATGATCCGTTGTCAAGTTCTCCAGTAATAGCCTGAATCTTTCCCGCTTCGTCGATTGCTTGAAGGTGAGCAACTGGTACACCCCTTGGCTCGGTTTAAAGGCCTGCTGCGATACCAGGTAGTCGACAATGTCATCGACATCCTTGTCAAAGTTTTCCAGCAGAAAGGTCTGCCTCGACTGAAGTTTCTTGCTCAGAGACACGTGTGCCGCCATACCTCCTCGGAAGTGGCAACCTTCCACGTCACACACACACACACACACACACACAATACACCTGTACCGAAATCAACACAGGTACATCCAAACACCAGCAGAGTGGCATAATCATCGTGACTCAGGAATGTGCGAGACAAGAAAGGATGCTCAGAACTAAACATTCACCGGGCCATGGAAGCCGGAAAATGAAGAACACTAGTACAATTCGCAGTCCCCCCCCCCCCCCTTCAAAACCAACTGCACGACTAACATTAACGAGAACAGCTACGTTGCCTTTACAGGCACACTACCTGCATGTCACGGGCATGAAGAGGGGTGGGGGGACGGGAGGAACTCATGATGATCACAAAATGGAGAGGGGCTCAGGCATGCATGGTGTAGTACTTGTGGAATGGGGGTAGGCATGCACTGCGAGTAGTCCAATGTGTAGGTTCTGTGTTTGCTACGAGTACATTTTAACATTAATATGATCAGTCGTATCACCACTCGTAATGCACTCTCAGCCGGCCAATTCCATTCCATGCCACACCTCCATGTAGAACATGTGCGATTGCGCCATTTTTGTCCTATTTGACATCATGCATACACCTGGATCCACATCCATTATCTACTACCTCCACTGATGTGAGCTCTGCCGGTTGGAGCAGAACAGCTGTCTGGAGCCTGAGTCTGCAATATCATGATCTCACCGGAAATATCCTTGCCATGGTGACACTGTGCGAGTTAAATGCATCAGTCAAGAGTGCATTGTGGAGTATATGTAGTGGTGTGACCGATATGTGCGCAATGGCCGAGTTTGTCGCTAATTTCTCTCCGTACGCCGCCAGAGTAACTCAGTTGTGTAACTAAATCTAAGCGTTTCTCTGTGCTTGGCAGTTGGCAGTCAGCAGTAATGGCTGGTCGGGGAAACTTCAAATGCGCAGTTAACCCTATTCGTACCGACCACGGTGAGTAAATTCACAATAGAGAGAGTTAACGCTTCACGTTTTTCAATTTCAAACGTGAGATCTCACGGCCAAAATGACGCTCCTCACGTTGCAACGTGAGATCTCACGGCCAAAATGACGCTCCTCACGTTGCAACGTGAGATTTCAACGCGATACAGGGCCAACCGTCACTGTGAAAAAAGCGATTCAACGCACGTTTTTTTTCTCACGTTCGAAATTTTAAAAAATCGTCACGCGTAAACTCTCTAATGTAAAACCAGCATTTGTTTTCTGGCTGGTAAATGAGATTAGGCCAAGTGGTTGTGGACTTGTTTGTGAATGGATGATAATAATTATGATAATTATAGCGCATTGACTAGTCATAAACCCACTGTTTGCAGCCAAGCACTAGCAAAGAATCGCGTCGCAAGAACAATATTTTACTTCATTCATGCCATGTCATCGTCTAGGGATTTCTCACCTTCAGTGTTCCCCCACGCAATCCCACCTGATGACGTTATGCGGACAGCAGTGATTGCGAGGAACCAATATTACCGCTGAAGCACAGTAGTAGTACCCCTACTGGCTGTAGTTCTGCTCGCTCTTACAGCCACAGCTCTCAATTCACCTGCTTGCTGCTACATGTACCAGAACGCCAACTAGGTACTAGTAGGCGTTCTGAGCACAAACCGTAACACTAACGTTAGTATAATAATTATAACTGCTAGCAGCTATTTTCAGACAGTAGTAAATATTATTGTTTCTTTTTTTAAATACTGCATTAAAAAAATTATTATACTAGTACATGACATAGTCAGTGCAGAGGTGGCCACGTAGATCTACGTGTACGTACGTGTCCGTATGCCATGTTGCATGTAGATCTACACAGTCATGCATGTACATTATGAAAAGATAAAGAATGGAACTAAGTAAGTACTTGATACCTCATTTGCTAGTACTGTTGACCATGCTACCATCTACTCTTGGTTGTATTCGTGATCCGTTGGATAAGGATGGACCCTGCTTGGCAACAAAACCTCCTACTGTCATCCCAAGTGAAAGACCGACTCCGGTTGACACGAGTCCCTAGTGAAACATCACCACCAACAGACCATTATCACTGGCACAACCACCTTACGATCAAACGAAACCAGGAAACGTGAGTAACCCTCATTTGACAGACCCCAAACTCTATCTTTTATCTCTGATTGTTATTCCTATAGTTGGTGCTGAAACGTTCCAGCTGTTCGATGAGTGTTGACCCTGAAAATGATCCAAGAAACTTTCAACATCAGCCTAGGTTAGATTTTAATCCGATACCCCATGATTACCAGAATCATAAATTTGCTCATTTTTACTCTATCATAAACTATCATAAACCGTTTTCTTTTTTTCCCATCAGACCATACCAGTTACATCAATGGTTGAGGGTAGTCTTGGTAGAGTGTTCACACCAAGCATATCTGATATGCTTGGTGTGAACACTCTACCAAGACTACCCTCAACCATTGATGTAACTGGTATGGTCTGATGGGAAAAAAGAAAACGGTTTATGATAGAGTAAAAATGAGCAAATTTATGATCTTTATAGGAATTGCTTTTCTAGCTCATTGTATCAAAGTGAATGGGTTGGTAATAAACAAATGTTGGGAAGAAAATTCATTCTGGATTTGTGTTCCACTTACACATCTTAGTCCACCTATCAATGTACCAGCAGCATCTGTAACACCGCTAACAACGGGAAAACCGACAACACCGACACCACCGACAACACCGATACCACCGACAACACCGACACCACTGACAACATCGATACCACCGACAACACCGACACCACCGACACCACTGACAACATCGGGAATTACATCGGGAACATCGGGAATTACATCGGGAACATCGGGAATTACACCGACAACATCGGGAATTACACCGACAACATCGGCCGTTGAAGCATCGGGAATTACATTGGGAATATTGGGAACATCGGGAACATTGGGAATTACACCGACAACATCGGGAACATCAGGAAAATCAAACAACTTGATATGCCTCCTTTTCCTTCTTCTTCTCATCCCCATCACTGCTGCTGTATTTCACAGACAAATAAAAAAATATATCAGAAAGAAGGATGAAGACCTTCACACTTTCGAAACCACCCACCTCATGTAAAGATGATCAGGTGAAAAATATGCCTTACATTCCCACAAAAGAAACCCTTGCTGAGGTGAGAGCAGCACTCAACTCAGGATGGAGACCATCGATTACAAAAAGAGCTGATGAAAAACAAGAAAAGATATAATGGAAATGAACCATCCCTTAGCAAAACTAAAACAGGGAACAGTTGAGTATGCTGAAAAGATATGATGAGGAAATGAGCAATCCCTTAGCAAAACAAAAACAGCCTCGGAAACAGTTGAGTATGCTGAAAAGATGATATCACGAGAGCAAGAAGATGGGAAATTATATTGTTGATGCTGAGATGGAAAATATGATGAGTTACCGATTGATGGGTGTAAGTCATCCAAAGCTGAACCAACCAAAGTTGACTCGGGAACCGATCCACATCAGTCCTCGAAGTGAGTCAAGATCGGGTACTAGTAACTTAGTAAGTGAAAAAAGCTCAAGTTGGCTCACTTCCGATTTCGGTCTGATTTCTCGGAGGGAGCAAGTAACATTAACAGTTGGCTCACTTTTCTGGAATTGGGTTGAGCCAACATTACATTTTTCGAAAATCAGTGCTTGGAGTGGTAACATTAGGACTTGGAGTTGTAAAATTAGTACTTGAATCTCCCACACACATTTCTTACCATGGAGTGGTAAAATTAGGACTTGGATCTCCCACACACATTTCTTACCATAAAAAATAAGAAGTGTATTGAAGGGTTAGAACTATAGCGTAGGAGAGGGGGGAAACTGTATGAAAGACCTACATGTATCTCCTGGTAAGAGTCATTATCTCACACGTTCCCCTAGTAGTATAGCCTATAGGGGAAACTTGAGAGGTCGGCCCAAAGGGCCGATCTAGTCCGGGGGCCAAATTAGGAAAAAGTCACGTCTAATAGATTTCGTTCCGAGTGAGCGGGCACCAAGTTTTTGCGATTTGAGTGTCAAGTATCTTCAAAATGCTGCAAGATGGTATGCCATTCAATCAAAATTTCCATCGGGAAGGTCATACAATGAAGGTGGAAAGAATTGATGATGGTTGCCATGGCAACAAATCAGTTAATTCAAATTTACAGGAGAACTATGCGATATTTTGACAAAATTCCTGCTGGATATAAACATATCCAATACGTATGACTGGTTGGCCAAGTTGGACTGAAAACAAATAAACTTCAGGGCCTCAAAGGTGAATTATAAAATCGGATCTACTGCAACTATACATTACTGTACATACGTAATTTTAAAAATGTGCATGCATACACCGACAATTGTACAAATAAATTGGTGACCAGTGTACATGTGACATCTATAAAGCCTTTTAGAAAAGAGTTAGAAATGAATAGAGCAATCTGTGACCAATGGTGATCTAATGGATATACATGTAGTACATGTCCATGTATGTATGTATGGCGAAGAGGAAAATGTAGAGGGAAACAGAGCACGCCAAAGCACAGTTCTCTAAGTACCTATGAGTTGGTAGCAACAAAGAGGATCTTGTGGCATTCTTTGGTGGTGAAGTGGCAGCTCCTGGACAACCTGAACTGGTGCCCCCAGGCAAGGAACTGGTTGTCACTGCGGGCCAAGAGTGCATAATAATTATTGTCAAGTCGGCTGGTGCAAGCATAGCGTCTACTTCTGTTAACCCAGGAAGAGGCTGACTTCAGACTGCTCCTTCATGCAAGGCATGCAGCTGTCATTGGGTATGAGACCGTTCTGATAGGAACACGAGATACCGATGTTGCCATCATTGCTTGTTCTGTTAGCCATGTTATCCCGTGTACGTTGCTGGTGGAGGTTGGTGCAGGCAACAACCGGCGTACAGTCAACATGACCGCTATTGCAGAGAAGCTCAGTGCCGATATTTGCAATGCTCTGCGCGGCTTACATGCGTTCACTGGTAGCGGTTCCGCCAGCGCGTTTGCCTTCCGTGGGAAAAGTGCTGCCTTCAACATTGTCCGTGGTGATGGTCCCGCCAGTGAATCAGCACGCATAGCTACATGTATGTGTGAGCTTGGACGTGCATTCACACCCTTAACACCAGCCACTTTGGATGCCAAAGGTTCACTTGTCAGATCTACAAGGCGTCCAAGTGCCAGCATGTGAACGAAGCCCGCTATGACCTGTTTTGCCTAAAAAACCAGCAATCCAACCAACTACCTCCCTGCAAGGATGCATTATTACACCACTCAGCCAGAGCCAATCATCAAGCAGCCATATGGCAGTTATGCCTCGTTGCGAACCCGGAAATACCCCAACCACACCAGCAAGGTCAAGGTAAGATTCCACATAGTCATAGTCATGATTATATGTTTAACTTACAGTCTCTATGGTTGTTGACACTGGTATCCTAATTAACAAATAGATCTGACAAGTGAACCTTTCTATGGCATCCAAAGTGGCTGATGTTAAGGGTGTGAATCCACGTCCAAGCTCACACATAGCTATGCGTGCTGATTCACTGGCGGGACCATCACCACGGACAATGTTGAAGGCAGCACTTTTCCCACGGAAGGCAAACGCGCTGGTGGAACCGCTACCAGTGAACGCATGTAAGCCGCGCAGAGCATTGCAAACATCGGCACTGAGCTTCTCTGCAATAGCGGTCATGTAACCTGTTGACTGTACGCCGGTTGTTGCCTGCACCAACCTCCACCAGCAACGTACACGGCATAACATGGCTAACAGAACAAGCAATGATGGCAACATCGGTATCTCGTGTTCTTATCAGAACGGTCTCATACCCAATGACAGCTGCATGCCTTGCATGAAGGAGCAGTCTGAAGTCAGCCTCTTCCTGGGTTAACAGCAACTCCTCCACAGCAGTAAACGCCATGCTTGCACCAGCCGACTTGACAATTGTGACTCTTGGCCCGCAGTGACAACCAGGTCCTTGCCTGGGGGCACCTTGCCAGGTTGTCCGGGAGCTGCCACTTCACCACCAAAGAATGCCACAAGCTCTTCTTTGTTGCTACCAACTCATAGGTACTTAGAGAACTGCTTTGGCGTGCTCTGTTTCCCTCTACATTTTCCTCTTCGCCATACATACATGTACATGTACATGTACACACTAGTCAGGACAACAGATGGCTTGATCAGTCACAACTTAAAGTTTCATGCCATCTCAGGCACGTACATGTACATGTATATATCCATTAGATCACCATTGGTCACAGACAACTCTATTCATTTCTAACTCTTTTCTGATAGGCTTTATAGATGTCACATGTACACTGGTCACCAATTATTTGTACAATTGTCGGTGTATGCATGCATAAATAATTACGTACATATGTACAGTAATGTCTAGTTGCAAGAGTTCATAACCCCCAAGAGTGTGCAACTCCTGATCAGTCCCTGTATGGAAGCCCGCTCGGCGGAATTCCTTCATTGCGTCATTTTTGGTGCAGTGCGATGAGTCACGCCGATGAATTCTTCTAAAATTTACAGTCAAACCAGGATGCTTCCCCAGGGTAAACTGCCTAAACTGCGATTCTAGTCTGAGCCTCGAGTCAAGAAGCAAAA